GGGTCTCGAACCTGCGGGCTCAGGCAATCCACTCACCTTGGCCTCCCAAAGGCGTGGGATTACAGGCTGAGCCACCGAGCCTGGCTTGTTATTAATTTCTAATTTTCATTTTGGTCAGATAACATATACTGTATGATTTCAGACTGAGCTTTATCGAAACTACTGCTTTATGGTCTATATATGTCTCTCAATGAATTTCCATGTTTTTTGTGTGTGTGTGGGTTTTTTTGTTTGTTTTGTTTTGAGTTGGATTCTCACTCTGTTGCCCAGGCTGGAGTGCAGTGGCACGATCACGACTCACCGCACACCTCAACTTTCTGGGCTCAGGCCATCCTTCTGTCTCAGGCTCCCAAGTAGCTGCGACTATAGGTGTGTGCCAGCATGCCTGGCTAATGTTTTAATTTTTTTTTTTTTTTGAGTTGGAGTCTCACTCCGTCAGACTGGAGTGCGGTGGCCGGGGGCGGCCACCGCAGCCTCGACCTGCTGAACTCCGGCAATCCTTCCGCCTCAGCCTTCCGAGTAGCTGGAACTACAGGCGCGCGCTACCACGCCCGGCTAATTTTAGATTTACGTAGAGATGAGGTCTCGCCAAGTTGCCCAGGCGGGTCTCGAACCCGCGGGCTCAGGCAATCCACTCACCTCAGACTCCCCAAGCGCGGGATTACAGGCTGAGCCACCGAACCGGGCTTGTTTTAATTTTTTTGTAGAGTTGCCTATATTGCCTGGTCTCGAACTCCTGGGCCCAAGCAATCCTGCCTCGGCCTCCCAAAGCGCTGGGATTACAGGCATGAGTCACTCTGCCCATCCTGTGTGTTCTTTAAAAACAAAAACAAAAACTTTATTGACATATGACTCAAGTATCATATAGTTCACCCATGTTAAGTGTTTAATTCAATGGTTTATAGCATATTCACAGATGTGTGCATGTACTACAACAATCAATTTTAGAACATTTTCATTACCTCAAAAAGAAACTCCATACCCTTTGGCTATCACTTCTTGCCATATTCCCTTAACCTTGAGACATTTCACATAAATATGGTCTTTTCTTTTCTTGTGATGTCTTTAATTGTTTTTTTTTTTTTTTTTTTGAGTTGGAGTCTCACTCTGTCGCCCAGACTGGAGTGCAGTGGCCGCTCCCGGCCACCACAGCCTCAACCTGCTGGGCTCTGGCGATCCTTCCGCCTCAGCCTTCCAAGTAGCTGGAACTACAGGCTAATTTTTTGATTTATTGTAGAGATGAGGTCTCGCCAAGTTGCCCAGGCAGATCTCGAAGCCTCAGGCTCAGGCAATCCACTCACCTCAGCCTCCCAAAGGCGCGGGATTACAGTCTGAGCCACCAAGCCCGGCTTCTAATTTACTTTTAAATAAACTTTTCTTTCTTAATCTTTTTGTGTGTTACAATTCTTTGCATTTACTCTTATCTCTGGGTTCCCAGTGCAGCACCTCCGGCACGCTGGCTCCGGCAGTGCTGCGCCTCCCTGCGCCTCTTCTCCCTCTCCATCTCTCCACCCTCACCCTGTCTGTACCCTAACATTTTGTTGGTCAGAGGCTTGGGAGACCAGAAGACTGGACACAGAATCTGGAAAGTGGATGAAGGACTTCAAGAACTCCACAGCAATACTGCCTGTTAGAGAGGCCCAGTCCCTTCATTGTGCTCAGATATTGGCTGGGACTGCTTCTGTTGACCAGGCTCAGAGGGAACACTGGTGGCCTCAGGGCACTGCAGTGGCTCAGCCTCCAGATAGCAAGTTGTTTCTTCAAGAAAGTCCAAGGAGAGCACACCTCTGGGGCTGCTACACACCTGAGGGATTTACCCTAAGAGGTGATCAAAGTAAAAAAAAAGCCATCTGCTCAGGCTGCCTTAACAAATTGCCCCAGGCTGCAGGGCTTAAAACAATAGATATTTATTGTCTTACAGTTCAGAGGCTGGAAGTCTGAGATCAAGGTGCCAGCCCTTCGGTTTCTGGTGAGGCCTTTTCTTCCTGCCCGGCACATGGACTTGTCCTTGCTACGTCCTGTCATGGCCTTTTCTTGGTGTATGCGCAGAGAGAGCTCTCTGGTGTCTCTTCTTATAAAGACACTGATACTAGTTTGGAATGCTGTTCCCTCCAAATCTCATACTGAAATTTGATCCCAATGTGGGAGGTGGGGCCTAGTGGGAGTGTTTGGTCATGGGGGTGGGTTCCCATGAATGGCTTGATGCTCTTCTGGTAATGAGTGAGTTGTAAAGTTCATCTAGGAATTGATGGTTTAAAAGAGACTGAGCTGGGCTGGTGGCTCCGCCTGTAAGCGCCTTGGGAGGCTGAGGTGAGTGGATTGCCCGAGCCCGCGGGTTTGAGACCCGCCTGGGCAACTTGGCGAGACCTCATCTCCACAATAAATCAAAAATGAGCCGGGCGTGGTAGTTCCAGCTGAGGCGGAAGGAAGCCTGAGGCGGAAGGAAGCCTGAGGCGGAAGGATCGCCGGAGCTCAGTGGGTCGAGGCTGCGGTGACCGGGAGTGGCCATGGCACTCCAGTCTGGGCCATGGAGTGAGACTCCAACTCAAAAATAAATAAATAAAATAAATAAACAAAATAAGCCTGGAACCTCTTTCTCTCTTGCTCCCGCTCTCACTACGTGACATGCCTCTCCCCCTTCACGTTCTGCCATAAGTAAAAGTTTCCCAAGACCTCACCAGAAGCCGAGCAGATGCTGGTACCATGCAGTTCTGTAAGCCAAAATAAACCTCTTTTCTTTATAAATTACTGAGTCTCAGGTATTCCTTTATAGCAATGCAAAACAGACTAGTCCAGACACAAACATATCGGCTCGGGGACCCACCTTTATGACCTTATTTAACCTTAACTACCTCCTAAAGGTTCGATTTCCAAATGCAGCTACATGGAGGGTTAGCACTTCAAACTGCATTTTAGGAAGAAACGATTCACTCCATAACTCGTGCACACAATGAACAGAAGGCTCACTAAGTAAGTTATGATGTATAGATATACAGGATAAAACACCATGTATCCATTAAAAATCACGTATGCTATTTATTATCACAATAAATAGTTCACAGCAAAGGACTGCATGAAAAATGTGGCTTACAGAGCACCATGAATGAAATGATCCCATTTATGTAAAATCGTAAACAGATATGCACATATGTTGACAACCACATGTATGACAACCTCGCGTGTTCGAGAGGAGGGGTCTGGAGTGATCACCAAAGTGGACTGGGGGGAGATAGTGTCCTGTATTTTTTATAATAAGCAATTATGATTTTAATAAAATCATTAAAGCTATTACTTTTTTCACTTAAAAAACACAAAATCATTTTTAAATAGAGACTTTATGTCATTTGGCACATGTTGGTTTTCTCTTCAAGAGCAGATTTGCCTCCAAGATGCCTGTCCTCTCCCGCCCCTCCCCTGCCAGCTCCCAGAGCGAAGGTGGAACTTAACCCAGGAAGGTGCTCTGGGCTTGAGGACTCCTCTCCCAGTCCAATCTGGAAACCCCTGCTCCCCGCTTTCTCTTGCAGTCTGTCATTCTGGAAATCTCTCTCCAAACTACTCTTCTCGAAAGGGAACAGCAGGGAGGTAATTTTTCAATTGTTTCAAACGGAGCTGGCACGTGGATCTCCAGGTACAACTTCTTTCTCCTCTCCTGGGTCACCCACTCAGGCTTTTCTCAGCCCTGCCGGGCCAGCGTGTCTATCCGGTGGCATCCAGCATCAAATCACAGTGACAAGAACCTTCTGGGACACACTTCAGATGCCCATGGTGGCCCCATTAAGCCTTTAACAGGGCAATCTTGTGTTCTGGAACAGAGTCTTCACTGATGTTGTAAGGCTGAGTCCCTGGTTCCTGTCTCAGGTATTTCTCTGTAAAAGATACAAGTTATTCAAGGACGCAAGAAGCGAAAGTGATGGGTCAGTTCACAGAAAGGGATTAAAAGTGGCATTTCAGGGTTCTGTTTGCACAGGGAGGAGTTGTAGGTCACCCAGGCCATCCCTAACTCTGCAGGGAGTCTCACCAAGCACATCGTGATTTTCCATGACTAATGACCCCTTCTTCCTGCTCAAGGGTAACTCATCCCACGACCAGGCCACGGGGCTTTATCCATCTCCTATGGATCGTGTCTGAACTGCTTCTAGTAACAGGGGCGAATCTGACAGATGTCACGTGGAGCCCAGGTGGCCAGATGCACAAAGAATCATTAGGAGTCCCTGTATATGAACTTTTAGAACAGGCAACACTAATTGTGGTGGCAGAAACCAGAATGGTGATTTCTCCTGAGGGAAAGGCCATGAGGGAACTTTCTAGAGTGATGAAAATGTTCTATCTTGATAGGTCCTGACTGTTGGGTACATGGGTGCATCTATCTGTCAGAACTCCAACTGCTCATGAAAGCTCTCTGCTCATCTGTATTTACACTTTACCTCAGACACAGTCACATCTAAAAAGCACATCCCCAGAGAAGGAAGAGGCCTCCATGACAGGGAGCCCACGGCCTCATCCACCACCCCTCACTCTCACCACCGTTGAGCCTGCTTCAGCTGTGGCCTCAGTGGAAGATGAAGAGGATTAGCACTTAGGCCTGAGGCAGATTTTCTGCCTATCTGGCCGATCGCCTCACTGACAGAGTCGCTGGTGAGGCCACAACTAGAACTGCGTGTAATCTCGCCTTCTTAGGGCTCAGTGTCCACCCCCACTTCTTTCCCAGCTCCTTTCCCAGAGTTCCCTGCCATGCTCTGTCTTGATCCCTGCAGCTGTCTGGCCTGTCTCAGCTTGCTGAAGAATATCTGATTGCACTCACCTGCTTCTTTCACAGTAGCGAAGTACTGGAACTCCTTCAGGTCAGCAGACAGCAGGACACGGAGAACAGGGACCTGAAGGACAGTCAGATTTTATTATTATGTTTTTGAGTCTCGCTCTCATCACCTGTGCTACAGTGCAGCAATATGATCATAGCTCACTGCAGCCTCAATCTCTTGAGCTCAAGCAATTCTCCCAACTCAGCCTCCCAAGTAACTGGGACTATAGGCGTGTACCACCATGCTTAGCTAATTTTTTTCATTTTTTGTAGAGATAGGGTCTTGCTATGTTTTCCAGGTTAGTCTCAAGCTCCTGGGCTCTCCCACCTCAGCCTCCCGAAGTGCTGGGATTATAGGTGTGAGCCACTGCACCTGGCTTGGGACAGAGAATTTAACTCAGGGCAGGGAGGTTCCTTTGTAATACACAGGGGGCTAGGCAGCCTGGATGAACACACTGTATCAGAGCCTCCTGGAAGAGGCAGCCTCACCTCCACACGAGTGAATGTCAAGAAGAAACCATGCCCCAAGGAAATGCTGTCAGAGGAGTATTTAATAAATGAATCATCTCCAAAATCCACGAAGATGCGTGGATGTGAACATGACACGGTGCGTAACACTTATGAGTAAAGCCCTGGAACCAGATGCCCGAGTCTGAAGCCCAGCTTGCCATCTTCACTGTGTGACCTCGGGCAGGTTACTCAGCTTCTCTGGGCCTTGGTGACCTCATCTAGACATGGGGACGGGGATAACACTAGCCTTGAAGGCTGGCTTGGGAGTGAATCAAACCCTGGAAAGTGCCAGGTGTTGCTGACACCCGTGGTGTGATGCTCACTCAGTATCCTGTGTCACAGCACGTTTACAGACATCTTCTCCGTGAGCATGAGGACACATCTAAGTGCCCCATGTGCTACCACCTAAGACTCGGCGGGCAGGACACATTTAATCATAGCAACAGCGACCCCGGCCTCCCTGCAAACCCCAACCACACATCCTGCACTGCTCAGAAGACTCCGGGGAGGCGTGGCTAGTACAGGGCTCTGCATCTCACTGTTGTCTATCACAGGCCCTGGAGCTTCTGAGAATGAAAGAAGCTCATTCGGACAAATCTCCCATCCGTTATGTTTGCTTCCATCCCAAACAGGACCAGTGTCTCCAGAAGCCTGTCTTCTTCAGCCTTGTGAAGCCCTGACAATACGTTTTACACACGATTCTGTAATTACACGTCTGGTTTTGCTTCCTAAAATATGACTCCCTTGGGAACAGGAACCGGCCCTCATTCATTGTGTGTCCCCAGCACAGAGCTCAGTGTGACCGTGGACAGGGGTAGGCACCAACTGCCAGGAAAATATGACCCTTTGGAGGACAGAAGTCATCACTCCCTGTTTGTTGTTGTTGTTGTTTGTTTGTTTTTTGAGTCAGAGTCTCACTCTGTCACCCTGCCTGGAGTGCAGTGGCTGCTCCCGGCCACCGCAGCCTCGACCTGCTGGGCTCCAGCGATCCTTCCGCCTCAGCCTTCCAAGTAGCTGGAACTACAGGCGTGCGCTACCACATCCAGCTAATTTTTTTTTTTGATTTATTGTAGAGATGAGGTCTCGTCAAGTTGCCCAGGTGGGTCTTGAACCCGCGGGCTCAGGCAATTCACTCACCTCGGCCTCCCAAAGTGCTGGGATTACAGGCTGAGCCACCGAGCCCGGCCACTCCCTGTTTTACAGGGAGGGCAGCAGATGGTCAGATGGGGATGCAACCGACCAGATCAGAGCTAGAGCCAATGGAGGGGGGGTGCTGTCTGTCTGTGTCATAGTCTAGAGATGTTGCATCCACCATGGAGGGGAGTAGAGGCAAGGAGGCCTTACTGCGGCTGCTGACCCACCAAGGCTGCCCTGTACACCTACCTGCAGGCCCACAAAGGCCAGGGTGACACCCTGCTTGTGGAAGTCCTGGAGGAGTTCACTGAGCCCCAACACCACGGTGTAGTCGATGCTGCAGATATGGGAGCACTCCAGGATCGAGCAGCGTGGGGGGGACACTGGGGAGACAGGCCCAAGAAGGGTCAACCCAGGCGGAGCAGCCCAAAGTCACTCTGCAGAGGACGGAGGCAGCTCTTGCCAGGGGCAGGGTGAGGTCAGAGAGTGCTCTGTCCTGTGGGGGTTAAGTCTCCTAGCGGGGAGAGAAGAGTCAGGGTGGCAGGACTTGAGAAACAGCTGTTTAGGACCTGGACCTGCAGGCCCCTTGGCTCCTTAAATGCCAACTCCCCAGAAGAAGGAACAGAACCCTAGAAGCAATAGAGACCAACATTTGGGGAACCGTTACCCTTGCTGCAACGCCGGGTTGAGACCTCACAGGGGACTGTCTTGTCTACTCGGGGAAACCTGAAACTTCATGGACCCGAGAGCAAGTAAGTGTGGAAGACAGGGCCTCAGGGTCTGGAAGAGCCACGACTAGAGTGCAGAGGGTAGTGGGACGCTCAGGGTGGCCCTCTTATCAGCCCACGTACCTTCCAGGGCCTGACTCAGGATGACCTCCCGCAGGGCTTCCACTGCAGGGAAGTACAGACCGCTGGCTGGCTGCAGGACAAGAACCGGCCCCTCGGATACCTGAGGGAAGTGAGGGAGTCCTGAAGGCTGGTCCCATGGGGCACGGCTGGGTTTGGCTCATCCCTGGCAGGAGGCCCCAACCCAAGCATATGCACAGGAGCTGGTGGGAGCTCATAGCCCACATGCAGGAGAGGAGAGGGTATGCCCACTTACCAGTGAGCAGTCACCTTCAGCAGTGCCTATGACCTCCATCATTCCATGAGCTCAAAATGTAAGCGTTGTACCAAGGAGTCCCACCCACGGCACTTCCCCCTGGGAGGCACGGACTGGTACCTGGGTCTTGGGTCTGGCCACGGAGTGCAGAAGCATGAACATGGACACCAGGGCCCCAGCCAGGATGCCGTACTGCACCTCCCAGAAGCACAGCAGGAAGGTCACGCTTAAGGGCAGCAGGTCCAGCCCTAGGAGAAGGGGTACTGCTGAGGGCCTCCTGTAGCTACCCAAGTCCCCGACTCGGTCCCCGCTCAGCTGTGGGACAGTTCCCTGGTCTCTCACATATTGAAGAAGGGTGCTCATGAACCCAAAGTGGCTCCTGAGGGGACTTGTTCAAGGGACTTGGGGATGGCGGCTGCTGAGAAGGCCACGCTGCGGAGATGGAGCTGTGGCTCCAAGTCAGAGGAAGAAAATCCCCTCCCTGTCTGTGCCGAACCGCAGTTAAAACTTGGCTGGCCAGGTGCCAGGTGTCCAGCCTCTGGGCTGAGGACAGCAGCAGGGGCCTTGTCAGGGGACAGAGCTGGCCTGAGAAGTGGAGCAGGGATCATGTGAGCCCTTGGGACCACTTGTGACTCCTGGCCAAGGAGGGGGTGTCCTGGGGACAAAGTGTGTGGGCTTGGGGGTCAGCCCCAGGTGGATTCCACCCGACACATGACACTCAGGCCGTCCCATTCTCCCCGAGCCTCGGTTTCCACTGGTGGCATTGATGAGAGTCCATGCAGGCCCGGTAATAGGTTTCAGGGCTGCTACAGGATGCAATGCAATAAACTATGAAGGCCCTGGCATGCAATAGGCGTGTGACAAGATAATTGATGCTTTCATTTGGCAACTTGCTGGGACGGACCAAAAAATGCCAAATACGCTGCATAAATACTTTCACAATGTTTCTTCAATAAACAAAGAAAACAAAAATTTTTTATATTGAACAAAATTACTATTGAGGCAGTGTGGCCAGCGAAGAAAGGAAGGTTTTAACCTAGACTCTGCTGGCCACCTGGGAAGTCCCTTGTCCCTTTTCCAGCTGGGCCAGGCAGAGCAGTGTCTGGAGGCAGGTGCAGGGGGAGGGATGGGGGAAGGAGGCAGTTCCCACGCTGGACCCTGAGTGTCAGGATGAAGAACTCCAGCTCTTCCCCGACCTGCCAAGCCACTAGGCCTCCCTGTGGCCATCTCCTGGCCTCCCACACCTCTGTCCCAGGACCACCTTATCTTCCCAGCTCCAGCCCCCTCAGCAGTGGCTGTGGGAAGATGGGAGGCACAGAGGATGACCTGTGTGCTCACAGATACCTCGTTACAGTGCTCTCCACTTCAGGGACAGGGACATACGTACTCTTAATGCGCCACAGCGTCCCGAAGATCTTGGTGTCAAACAGCGGAGCCACGGCCATGATGATGACTGCGGCCAGGGCTGACTTGGGGATGAAGTAGAAGAGAGAGGTCAGGTAGTCCAGCGACAGCAGCACCAGCACTCCTGTGGGGTGGGGGGAGACAGAGGGGGGCGCAGGTGACCTTGATGATGGGGAACACAGGGTCCTGCCCAGCAAGTGAGGTAGCCTCCCCCTCAGAGAAGCCCCACCTGGGACACAGAGTTGAGGGAGGAACGAACGCCAAGGCCGTCAGCGCCTGCACCATCCCCTGTGGTCCTCCCGCGTTTTTGAGGCCCCTCAGCCCTGGGGCATGCGGCCCATAAGCCAAAGGGCACTTGGTGCCCTGCTAAATAGGGACATCTCTAACTGGGTCTCCTCCCTCTTTTCTCCCCCTTTCACTCCAGGGGCACAAGGGGAAGGCAGTCGGGGACTCACCTGTCACCAGCCCCGCTGCTGGGGTGCACACCCCTGACTGGGCATTCACAGCTGTCCTGGAAGGCAACACAGAGACCACTCATCACAGGCAGGACTGGGAGAGGGGAAGTCTCAGTCTACACCACCATGGCTGATCTTCCAAGGGGATGTCAGCTCCGAGGAGGCCTGGGAAGCACAAGGCTGAGGGCAGTTGGGGACCAGGCAAAGCAATTTAGGGTGCAGCCATGGAGAGCTTTGCTCAATCCACCCTGATTGTAAGAATACAAGTCAGGCCGGGCTCGGTGGCTCAGCCTGTCATCCCGCTCCTTTGGGAGGCCGAGGTGAGTGGATTGCCTGAGCCCGCGGGTTCGAGACCCGCCTGGACAGCGAGACCTCATCTCTACAATAAATCAAAAAATCAGCCGGGCGTGGCAGCGCATGCCTGTAATTCCAGCTACTTGGAAGGCTGAGGCGGAAGGATTGCCGGAGCCCAGCAGGTCGAGGCTGCGGTGGCCGGGAGCGGCCACTGCCCTCCAGTCTGGCCGACAGAGTGAGACTCCAACTCAAAACAAACAAACAAACAAACAAGAATACAAGTCAGGAAGCACAAGCCTTTCAAGAGTCCTGCCTGATTTGTCTTCCCCCATCCAGGGAGGGGTCCCATACCCAGCAAACTTGGGACCAGTAGCACAGGGACCCGGCCCTGCTGGATGGTGCCCCCTCTCCTTTAAGGCACAGGTCACCCCAATGCTGCCTTCCTGACTGAGGGTCTAGAGGTCTGGGCTGGACCTCATGCCCAACTTTCCCAGGGCAGAGCCATGATCCTTCCTGTCCCTGTGTCCTTTTAGGAATTAATTCTGGCACCAAAAGTTGAGAGTGCTTCAATGTACTGCAAACATTCTAGTGTTTTCTTCTTTTGTGTTTTTTTTACAGGTAGGATCTCACTGTGTTGCCCAGGCTAGAGTGCAGTGGCTATTCACAGGTGTGATCCCTGGCCGGGATCAGTAGCTCATGCCTGTAATCCCAGCATTTTGGGAGGCTGAAGCAGGAGGATTACTTGGGGCCAGGAGTTCGAGGCTAGCCTGAGCAACATAGTGAGACCTTGTTTCTACAAAAACAAAAAAACCAAAACAAAACAAAAAACCCATTAACTGGGCATAGTGGCATGCAACTATAGTCCCAGTCACTTGAGAGGCTGAGGTGGAATCGCCTAGGCTTAAGAGGTTGAGGCTGCGGTGAACCATGATAACTCTAGCCTGGGTGACAGAGTGAGACCTCAACCCCACCCTTCCCACAAAAAAAAAAAAAAAAAAAAAAATCACAGGTGCAATCCTAGCTCACTGCAGCCTCAAATTTCTGTGCTCAAATTATCTCCCACCTAGGCTTCCCACATAGCTACGACAACAGGCATGCAGCATCACACCTGGCTAATTTTATTTTTGTAGAGAAGAAGTCTGACTATATTGCCCAGGCTGGTCTTGAACTCCACCTCAAATGATCCTTCCACCTTGGCCTCCTGGGTAAACAGAACAACAAGAGTGTGCTATGACACCTGGCAGAACTTTCTAGTATTAAATTGCAGTGCCGTCTATTGGTGTGAAGAAACCAGAGGACACCTTGGAGAACAGTGGCATAAACCCTCACCCCCACCAGTCATCAGGAAGACAGACAGACTCCTTACCGGGACAAGGACAAAAAAGTGTGGAACATGGGCAGGGGGCCTGGGGGGGGTGGAAGTGGGTTCCTGGGCAGCCCCTTCCCCAAGGCACAGAGATGGAAGGATGTGGTCACTCACCGTCCAAAGCTGCCTGTGACTGGGTAGGCAGAGACGAGGGACCCCAGCACGTTGGTGAGGCCTGGCGAGAAAACAAAGGTTTATCTGGGAAGAGAAGGAACACAGAATTGAGGGAAAAGCGAGGGAAAGACAAAAACCCAGAATGGAAGCAGGAAGGCAGGTTGGAGAATCACTCCGAGGTCCTGCACCTGGCGCTCTTTTAGGAAAGGAAGAAAACAGGCTGTGTTTTTCCTGAGCTTCCCAAGGTAGACTCCAGCTTTAAAACACTCTCACCCCAGCCTCTCCTGTGTGACTAAGACATGCCTTTTCTCACGTATAACACGGAAGAGTGTGATGGTGGACACGGAGGCACCCGGAAGACAAACCCAATGTGCTGGGAAGGTCAGCCATCATCCATGGTTCTCCACTCAGTTCCTTCAAACCCCCACTCCTTCTCATGAGATGATGGCCCAAGTGAGGCCAGAGGCCACGGCTGGGAAGCTTCTCCCCGGATAACACTACCTGGCTGTACGGGATGGAGTCCACATTCACAGCCTGGCTAGGCCCGAGAACCAAGATGGCTGCCCACATGGATCACAAGCCCCTGCCAGCATCTGTCTCCTCAAGGGACCATCACAAAGACCAGAGCCTCCTCTGTGCTCTAAAACACAATGGAGGTCACAGGTTCAGGACTGAGGGCTGAGGCTTACTCAGTACTAGGCCCTCTCAGATCACATGGCTCAGCTCATGTCCTTGAGAGCGGGAGCCCAGGCGAGGAAAAACAGACTTGCGGAGGAGAGGGGGCTGGGAAGAGGTCATGTGGTGACCACAGGCTGCAAGTGACCGCCCTTACTCTTTAATCAGATCAGGGACTTAACTCTGTGCAGCCACCGACTAGGACGGTCCCTTCCCACATGGCATTGCATGGGCTCATAATGGCCTCTTGCCATGCGGCTGCTGGAAACTGCCTGGCCTACCTCAGATCAAGGAAACCAGCACCCACCTAGAATAACTTGAGCTTCATGACCACTCTTCAACAGCCACTCTGTCTAGGTTGTGCCCCTGGAACTCACCAGACCACCAAGATACTTTTGTCATATTTTTGTAGTAATGGGAATGAAGCACTCTGAGAATTCACGTCCGGAAGATTCACTGGTGGGTGCTTGGGGGAGTCTGGATTTTCCCTGCCTTAGGGTGAGTAATTCCTAGGAAGCCCAAGCCCCACCCATCAACTGAACAACGCCCCATTCTCCAAGGCTCAGAGGAGTACCAGCAATGTCCCTTTGTGACCCATCCGGGCTCCCACACACTTTGCTGTCAAGAAGCCAGGTGGAGTGAATCCAAGACCCTCACATGACGTTGTCCGGGTGTAATGGTGGACACCTCCATGGGAAAGAACCCACGATGCTGCCCAGGTTAGACCCATGCCCATCTCACGAGGGGCAAAAAGGAAATGCAGGAAAGTCTGGGACCCACCATACACTGAAAATAGCAACGATAACTGAACTAAAAATTCACACTGTGGTCTCAAAATACACCATTAGAGAAGTCAGTTCTTGGAGACACAAGAAAACGAAACGATGAAACCAAGCATCCACACTCCGGCAACTTGGGAACCTGGGGCCCTCCTGAGGCTTCACTAATCCACCTGCTCCTACCTGGAGAGCCACAGGGTGAGGCAAAGACACAAAATCAGTGGACTCCCCTGAGATCCTACCTGGCCACACTTCAGCTCTCTGACCCCTGGCCCTGGAAGCTCCCTCGCTGAGGTGGGACATTCTAGATGTTCACTGGTATAGATCAAGCCTACAGACCTCAAGGTTTAGTACACAGCAGGTGCTCAATTAGTAGTGGTCAGAATGGACAACAGCAGGTGCTCAATTCGTGGTGGTCAGAATGGACAACAGATGTCAGCTCTCTATTCCCAGGGATTAAATTGAACCATCTAGAAAGCTGGGACAGAGTTCTTCCTAATATTTCAAAAGGATCCAGCAGGGGCCACCTCTGCCCCTGGCAGTTCATCATGTCCACCACAACACTCTGTACAACTCAGGAGACATAGAGAAGCGGGCCCAGGCCCCAGGAGGCCGGCGGCTGGAGTCTCACCAATGGCCAGCAGCTCCTGGTTGGCGTCGATGCGGTAATTATTCTGAGAAGCTAAAGAGAACAAACAGTAAAGACACTGTCACTGATACTCAGTATCACTCAGAAAACATTCATGAAATGAAAAACAGGTTATGAATTTTTACATACAGCACTAAGTTTTGTAAAATACATACACGTATGCATGTATAAACATGTTTGTGTATATCATAAAGACAGTGGGAAGAGCTCCAGCAACATGCTAACAGTAGCTACTTGGGGCAGTAAAGGGGGTTATGAGTGATCTGTCTCATTTATATTCATTTCTGCACGTTTCACATTTTCTACAAAAAACATATACAGTTATTGCTTTTATAATAAGAGGAAAACGTTTTAAACTAAAAACTATTCTGACTACAAGTTGAGGCAACCAGGAAGTCAAGGTTGGGCCATGTCCAAGGAGTTGAGCAGGCAGAGATTTTAGGGTCAACTACAGGAGCGTGAATCTAAGACAAAGGTTGGCAAACTTTTCTGTAAAGGACCAGATAGTACTATCTTAGGCTTTGCAGGCCCCACAGTCTCTGTGGCAGGTACATGGCTTGCAATCACAGCACAAAAGTAGCCACAGACAGGCCATCCCCAAACGAGCCTCGCCAGGTCATCCTCAAACGAGCCTCACTTAATTTAATTTAATTTAATTTAATTTAATTAATTTACTTTTTGAGTTGGAGTCTCACTCTGTCGCCCAGACTAGAGTGCAGTGGCCACTCCTGGCCACTGCAGCCTCAACCCACTGGGATCCGGCAATCCTTCTGCCTCAGCCTTCTGAGTAGCCAGAATTACAGGCACGCGCTACCATGATTTTTTTATTTATTGTAGAGATGAGGTCTCACCAAGTTGCCCAGGCGGGTCTTGAACCCGCGGGCTCAGGCAATCCACTCACCTCAGCCTTCCAAGGCGCGGGATTCCAGGTTGAGCCACCGAGCCTGGTTGGCCAAAAGTTTTAATTTTAATTTAATTTTATTTTTAGAGTTGAGGTCTCACTCTGCAGCCCAGGCTGGAGCAGAGTGGTGCAATCACGGCTCACCACAAGGATTTCTGCACTTTTCTGTATGTAATTCAACAAAAGATTCTTTTTTGTTGTTGTTTGCTTGCTCTTTTTTAAGAGTCATAGTCTCACTCAGTCCACTCATGCTGGAGTGCAGTGGCATGGTCATAGCTCCTGCAGCCTCTACCTCCTGGGCTCAAGCGATCCTCCTGCCTCAGTCTCCTGAGGAGCTGGGACTACAGGTGCATATCACCTCGCCCAGCTAATTTTTTTTTTTTTAAGTAGGAGTCTCACTCTGTGGCTCACTTAATTTTATTTGCGATCACTGAGATTTGAATTCTACATACTTTTCATGTGTCACACAGTATTATTCTTTTGACTTTTTCTAACCATTTTAAAAAGGTAAGAATCAGGCCAGGCATAGTGGCTCACACCTGTAACTCCAGCACTTTGGGAGACCGAGATGGGAGGATCACTTGAGTGCAGGAGTTTGAGACCAGCCTGGGCAATACAGCAAGACCCCCATATCTACAAAAAATTTAAAAATCAGTTGGGCATGCCTGTAGTATCAGCTATTCAGGAGACTGAATTAGAAGGATTGCACAAACCTCCAAGTTCCAGGCTGCAGTCAACTATGACTGTGCCACTCCACTCCACCTGAGCAACAGAAAAAAAATTTTTTTTTTTTGAGTTGGAGTCTCACTCTGTCACCCAGACTGGAGTGCAGTGGCCGCTCCCGCCCACCGCAGCCTCGACCTGCTGGGCTCCGACGATCCTTCCGCCTCAGCCATCCAAGTAGCTGGAACGACAGGCGCGTGCTATCACACCCGGTTCATTTTGATTTGTTGTAGAGATGAGGTCTCTCCAAGTTGCCCAGGCGGGTCTCGAATCCACGGGCTCAGGCAATCCACTCACCTTAGCCTCCCAAAGGTGCGGGATTACAGGTTGAGCACCGAGCCCGGCAGATAAATTTTTTAAATAAAAAAAAAAAAAAGTAAAAGCCATTCTCAGGTCAGTGACCATACAAAACAGGCAGCAGTCTGTTGTTTACCAATCCCTGATTAAAGAGAATAAAAGGCTTTACAAATTAGACCAGGAGCCCAGGTGACTTCAAAAGAAAATAAAATGTCTTCTAAGGAACGGACAAGATGAGTAAAAGCCATAAGATGTGGAATCAGAAGAGACACCCTATGTTTCTTTTGGTAACAACAAAAAAACATAATAAGGAAACCAAAATATACCATGAGTGGTATATGGAACAAATGAAAACGTGTGATTGTGAGCAATTGCTGGAGTTTGGGGCTGAAACCCCTTTTGAATGGACATTAGTTAAGAGCTTCCTTCAAAGGGGCTAAGCCTCAGAGAGCTAGAATTTTGGAGAAGAAAACACATTGTGGCACAGTCTGAGCCAGGCAGTAAACATGATTTATGGAGTCATGATAACATACGCTGTTATTGGGTGTTAACCTTTAGAATCAGCCTAAACCCAAAAGCAGAGAACTTAATTTCAGGGCTATAGGTTGGGACAAAAGTGCCATCCACATGGACAGAACAAGGCTGAGAAACAACCAACCAAGGTGGGAAAGGAATAGGCACGTGTAGGATTTCACAGCCCCAGCTTACCAAGCAGGGAATCAAGAGATGCTGAATGATATACAGAAATTTAACATTTCCCTGCCTCCCTGGGGATAAGAAGAGGGCCAGCCCAATGTGCTTAGCCAGCTGGAGAAAGCACATGTTCAATGTCTAGGAATTGTGTGAGCCTGTTATTAAACACAGCCACCATTACCAATTAAATGAAAACTTTCAATTACTAAGCAAATTACATTAAAAAGAAAGATAATAGCTAAAGCTCTCAATTCCTTCAGGGCACAGTGGCTCACGCCTGTAATCCCAGCACTTTGGGAGGCACAGGTGAGAGGAATGCCTGAACCCAGGGGTTTGAGAGCAGCCTGAGCAACTTGGTGAGACTTGGAAGGCTGAGGCGGAAGGAGTGCCTGAGCCCAGCTGATTGAGGCTGCGGTAGCAGCAAGTGTGCCACCGCACTCTAGCCTGGGTGACAGAGTGAGACTCCAACTCAGAAAAAGCAAAGAAAGCAAAAAACAAACAAACAAACAAAAAAAAACCCTCTCACTTTCTAATTTATTTGACAACATTTTACTGTCACCTTTGAGGTTACTTGTGCCCCTGGCATTGATACAGTGGCGATATCACACACAGCAGCTAATGTACATTTCATCACAACTCAAAGTACAAACTCCCCACTCAGCTCAGCAATGTCATGTTCAGCCTAAAATCAGCCACAGTGGAAGCACTGACACCACAGTAGCTGGCAAAGGCTGCAAACCAGGGTCCTTTGGTTCCACAGAGAGCAGGTTGGTAAAACACTTCATGGCACAACTCTGAATGGGGTTTTTTGTTATAAATCCGCTTTTATCATACACAAACACATTTTAAAACATGAGCATGTATTACTTGGATAAAAATTCAAATTTTGGCTGGCCTTGGTGGCTTAGCCTATAATCCCAGCACTTTGGGAGGCCGAGGCAAGTGGATCGCCTGAGCCCGTGGGTTTGAGACCTGTCCGGGCAACTTGGCGAGACCTTGTCTCTACAGTAAAATAAAAATTAGCCGGGTATGGTAGTGCGCATCTGTAGTTCCAGCTACTACGAAAGCTGAGGTGGAAGGATCGCAGAAGCCCAGCAGGTTGACGCTGGGGTGGCCGTGAATGTGTGTACCACTGCACTCCAGCCTGGGCGAAGGAGTGAGACTCTAGCTCAAAAAAAAAAAAATTCAAATTTCTAAAATGAGAAATGTGTGGATATAAACAAGCGAGAAAAAGCACACAAGTCAAGGCAGGCAGGTGAGTCTCGGGAGGAGACCGGTGAGGGCATCTTACCAAAGGCTTTGGCCACTGCGATGCTCTCCAGGAGGCCCATCAAAGGCACCACAGCCAGCCCGGCTCCCATGTCCTGAGAGAGGAGAAAGTGACGGTGAGTAGCTTTCCTACTGGGTCTGACTAGGCAGTGATCCACCAAGGTGGGGACCTCCCCTCACCCCCACAGCTAACAGAAGTAAGCACCCCTCAATGGCAGGACCATGAGCTTAACACAGTCAAGGAAGCAGCTCCTTATCACAAAAGGAAAAAGATACTGGGAAGAACATAGCAAACTTATCCTCTGCCAATGTCCAAAACAGGAGAACACCCCTGGGCTCGAGGCGGAAACACAAATGTGCTGTTCATAAAGCCAATCTAGGAATCTTTCAAAACTGACATGTGCCTTCCTGAATAACTCTGCGATCCTAACTGATCTCAGACTTCCTGTCACTAAGCAGATGCATCTGGGATCTGGAACCAAGCCAGGGCCCACTGTGGCCTCGGCTATGCCATCCTGGCTCCCATCTCTGCCCACCTGTATCATCTCTGGAAAGGAGATCGTCCTGTTGTCAGTGGTCACTGAGAAGGGAGGGGCCCGGAATGGAGGAAGCCCCGCGGCTGTCTCCCCAGTTAGAATGAAAGGCTGGTATCCAGTCACCTCAAAGGAATATGCAACCAGGGCTGCAAAGGAGACCACCAGGGCATTGCGAGCTTGAAAGAAAGGAGAGAGATACATTATGGAACCCTACTCCCCACCAGCACAGGGATGTGCACCTGCCTCTGGGTGACCAACACACCCCAGGGGCAGAAAACATCCACCCAGCCACGACCACTCACTCTGTACCCTGGAAAACACAGCATGGAATAAGTGACCATGTGGCAGTGTGAGCAGATGGGACAACAGAGCTGCTGGTGCAGACTGGTGCACACACCACATACTGACGTCTCCCAGATAACTATGTGGACAATGTGTCTAGCTGCAAAGATACTCTGAAATCAAACACCCAGGCACTCCCACTTCAGAGCACAATGGAGAAAAAAACTGGATTTACCCCCAACCTGAAACATCCAAGAACTGGACAAGCTAGAGGAAATAATAGTTGCTCAAGATGTCAGACAACAGGCATGACAGATATAGAAAACAAACAGGTGAGTCTCTAACACCCTGCCAGCTGCCTGAAGGGTTTCCAGGGTCTGGTGTACATGGGGAACCCCTAGCAGAAAACAGGGGTCTCTCTGAGTTGAGGAAGCAACACCGGAAGTCCCAGAAGGCCAGCAGCTGGAGTGGACAGGAACATTTACGGAAGGAGAGGGTGGCACTGAGACAGACCTGCAGACATCTGCAGATGGTTCCCTCAGGTGGGCAACAGAGAAAGATCAAGGCAAAGCTGTGAGGAAACTACCCCAAACTACCAAAAACCCAAACTGGGAAAGAGATACCCAAGACAAATAAAGGAAACGATCCCAGGGACTCACACCAGAGTGAAAAAAAACTCCAAATTCACAGGGCATTGGGAGCTCAGTAGGGTTTTACCTCAGCAGTGGGCAAGATTAGACCTAGACCTGGGGTTGGTAAATCTTTTCTTGTTTTGTTTTGGTTTTTTTTTAGTTGGAGTCTCACTCTGTTGCCCAGACTGGAGTGCAGTGGCCACTCCCGGCCACCGCAGCCTCGTACTGCTGGGCTCCGGCGATCCTTCCGCCTCAGCCTTCCAAGTAGCTGGAACTACAGGCGTGCGCTACCGCGCCCGGCTCATTTTGATTTATTGTAGAGATGAGGTTTCACCAAGTTGTCCAGGCGGGTCTCAAACCCGCAGGCTCAGGCAATCCACTCACCTCAGCCTCCCAAAGGCACGGGATTACAGGCTGAGCCACTGAGCCCAGCTGGTAAATCTTTTCTATACAGGGTTAAATACAAAATAATTTTTGCTTTGTGGGCCATTCACTCTTTGGTGAAACTACTCAACTCTCGCTGTTATTGGACAAAAGCAACTATAGACAATGTAAATGAATGGAAGTAGCTGTTCCAATAAAACTTTATTTACAGAATCAAGTGATGGGCCAGATTAGAATGAATAATGCTCTGGTCCAGCCCACAAAGCTTAAAAGCAAGACCTGAATGGATCAAACTGTCCTACATAACTTAATTGTATCCCAGAACAAAGCTCAGGAAGATTTATAGAATACAAAAATATCTAGCCCCCAACAATGTCAAATTCATAAAGTATGGCATCCATCCAAACAAATATTATTAGACATACAAAGAACCAGAAAAATATAACCCATACAAGGAGAAAAACCAAGCAATAAAAACTGACCCAAAAGTGACACAGTTAAAGATAACAGAATTAACAAACAGAACATTAAAAGAGTAATTTGACGAAATTCCATATGTTCAAAAAAGCCGGGCTCGGTGGCTCATCCTGTAATCCCGCGCCTTTCGGAGGCTGAAGTGAGTGGATTGCCTGAGCCCGCAGGTTCGAGACTCGCCTGGGCAGCGAGACCTCATCTCTACAATAAATCAAAAAATCAGCCGGACGTGGTAGTGCATGCCTGTAATTCCGGCTACTTGGAAGGCTGAGGCGGAAGGATCGCCAGAGCCCAGCAGGTCGAGGCTGCGGTGGCCGGGAGCGGCCACTGCACTCCAGTCTGGGCGACAGAGTGAGACTCCAACTCAAAAAAAAAAAAAAAAAAAAAAAAAAGCTAGAGCCAGGCTTGGTGGCTCAGCCTGTAATCCTGCGCCTTTGGGTTCGAGACTTGTCTGGGCAACTTGGTGAGACCTCATCTCTACAATAAATCAAAAAATTAGCCGGGCATGGTAGCGCGTGCCTGTAGTTCCAGCTACTTGGAAGGCTGAGGTAGAAGGATCGCCGGAGCCCAGCAGGTCGAGGCTGCGGTGGCTGGCAGCGGCCACTGCACTCCAGTCTGGGCGACAGAGTGAGACTCCAACTCAAAAAAAAAAGCTAGAAGGAAGACCAAATCTTTTAGATAAAAATGTGAAAGATACATTTAAAAATACTCAAATTGAATTTCTAGAAATGAAGAACACAATGTCTGAGGTGAAATAAACACTTGATGTGATTAATAACAGATCAGACATTATAGGAAAAGTAAAAGACGAGGATGTATCAGTAGAAACTATCCAAAATGAAACTCACAAAGGAAAAGAAAGACTGATTATTGTGCAAAATATCAGTGAGCTGTAGGACAACATCAAGTTGCCAAGTATAAGTGTGTTGGAGTCCACAAAGAAGTCTATAGCATAGTATTGTGCAGATTTCAAGTATAAAGATTTCAAGAAATAAGAGCTGCATATTTTTCCAAATTAGATGAAAACTGTAACCCTACACATCGAAGAAGCTCAATGAACCCCAAGCACAAGAAATGCAGAGGGAAAAGAAAGCATGACACCAAGGCATGTCATAATGAATCTGCCTAAAACCAGTGATAAAGAGAATATCTTAAAAGCAGTGAAGAGAAAGATCACATACAGAGGAATAAAGATGACAGCACACTTCTTGTGGAAAGAAAGGAGACCAGAAGATAGAATAGTGTCTTTAAAACACTAAAAGAAAAAAACCAAGCCGGGCTTGGTGGCTCAGCCTGTAATCCCGTGCCTTGGGAGGCTGAGGTGAGTGGATTGCCTGAGCCCACGGGTTCGAGACCCACCTGGGCAACTTGGCGAGACCTCATCTCTACAATAAATCAAAAAATTAGCCGGGTGTGGTAGCGCGCGCCTGCAGTTCCAGCTACTTGGAAGGCTGTGGCAGAAGGATCACCAGAGCCCAGCAGGTTGAGGCTGTGGTGGCTGGGAGTGGCCACTGCACTTTAGTCTGGGCGACAGAGTGAGACACCAACTCAAAAAAAAAAAAAAAAAGCAATCTAGAATTCTATAACCTGCAAAACTATCTTTGAAAAATGAAGGCAAAATAAGACTCTCAGACATAGAAAAGCCGAAAGAATTAATCATCAAGAGGCCTGCACCATAAGAAACAATAATGTCGCCGGGCTCAGTGGCTCAGCCTATAATCCCACGCTTTGGGATGCCGAGTGAGTGGATTGTCTGAGCCCGTAGGTTTGAGACTTGCCTGAGAAACTTGGCAAGACCTCATCTCTAAAATAAATTTAAAAATCAGCCAGGCGTGGTAGTGCTTGCCTGTAATTCTGGCTACTTGGAAGGCTGAGGTGGAAGGATCGCCAGAGCCCAGCAGGTTGAGGCTGCGGTGGCTGGGAGTGGCCATTGCATTGCAGTCTGACCCACAGAGTGAGACTCCAATTCGGGGAAAAAAAGAAAAAAAAAAACAAAACAAAAAAAAACAATAATGTCCTTCAGGCAGAAGGAAAATGATACCAGGTGGAAATCTGGATATTTTTTTTTCCACTACGCCTGCTTGTTTTTTATTGAGTAAACCTCTCATGACAAAGGGATGAAGAGGCAAGAAATAGTGCTTATGTGGGTACATATAAAAGAGTTTGTTTTTCTTACTTATATTTCTTTAAAAGGAGCTGCGAGTTTAAAGTGGAGATAATAGGCTACGTGCAGTAACAGGTATGAGCCTCGCTATGTTGTATAGGCTGGTCTTGAACTTCTGGGCTCAAGCAATTCTCTAGCCTCAGTGTCCCAAAGTGCTAGGACTAAAGGTATGAGCCACTGTGCTCAGTTCAAAAGCTTTTTTTTTTTGAGTTGGAGTCTCACTCTGCTGCCCAGACTGGAGTGCAGTGGCCGCTCCCGGCCACCGCAACCTCGACCTGCTGGGCTCCGGCCATCCTTCCGCCTCAGCCTGGAACTACAGGCACGCACTGCCACGCCCGGCTCATTTTTGATTTATTGTAGAGATGAGGTCTCGCCAAGTTGCCCAGGCGGGTCTCGAACCCGCGGGCTCAGGCAATCCACTCACCTTGGCCTCCCAAATGCGTGGGATTACAGGCTGAGCCACCGAGCCCGGCTCTCTGCTTGTTTTTTATTGAGTAAACCTCTCATGACAAAATCATGAATGTTACACTAAAATGCTCATAGTCATTATATTTGTGTAGTTTCTCTCCCATGTGAACCCTGTAATATTCCAAAGTTTTCAGTGCTTGGGTAAAAGCCTAAGCACATACCTCACATTTGTGTGGCTTCATCAAAGATGTTTTTGATGTCTAATAAAATTGGGGGGCTGGAAAAGTCTCTTGCATATCTTACAATTAAATAAGTTCTCTTTAGTATAGATTCTCTGACATCCTGTATATTACAATGTTTTGCCATCTTTAAAAAAAACCTTTCTGGCTACAAGGAGACTACCTCTCCCAAGTAAGGCAATTTTTTTTTTTTTTTTTTTTTGAGTTGGAGTCTCACTCTGTCATCCAGACTGGAGTGCAGTGGCCACTCTCGGCCACCGCAGCCTCAACCTGCTGGGCTCCGGCCATCCTTTTGCCTCAGTCTTCCAAGTAGCTGGAACCTACAGGCACACGCTACCCCACCCGGGTCATTTTGATTTATTGTAGAGATGAGGGCTCACCAAGTTGCCCAGGCGGGTCTCGAACCTGCGGGCTCAGGCAATTGGCTCACCTCAGCCTCCCAAAGGCGCGAGATTACAGGCTGAGCCACCGAGCCCGGCTAGTATGGCAATTCTTAGAGCAAAGGGCCCAGCCAGGAGCATGTCTCTGATGTGCAAACCAACCAATCCAGAGCCATCCTTCCTCTACCTGGCTATACACCCCAGGGCTGGATACTAGGCAACTGGAGGCCACCCTTATAGCCCAAAGTCTGCCCAATTCATCCAAACTGGCCAGTCCTAAACAACTCACCCTGCCCTGCCTTGCCCTTATGATAGTAGAAGACCCAGTAAAGGCTCTAACCTAAACCTTCCCCTCACTCCTATCTTCTTCCACCTCTAGGCTACCCGAGTGTGGCATGCCATGCCTCTTGTCTCTAGGACTTGTGTGTACAATAACCTTTGTATTCTGGGCCTCTCCTCTATCTCCTCCTGTGACTGCAACTGATCAGTCATTTCATAAAAGAATAGAAAGTCTCTGAGAAACACAGCTACCCCAGCGTCGACCTATTGGGCTCAGGCGATCCTTCCACCTCAGCCTTCTAAGTAGCCAGAGCTATAGGTATGTGCTACCACACCCAGCTAATTTTTTATTTATTGTAGAGATGGGGTCTCACCAAGTTGCCCAGGCTAGGCTCACACCCGAGGGCTCAGGCAATCCTCTCACCTCAGTCTCTCAAAGTGCTGGGATTATAGGTGTGAGTCACCACGCCCAGCCTCCCGTGGTCCTTCTTAAGGGACCTCTGGCTACCTGTGGCTCAGCCAGCAGCCTCCATACCTAAAACTGAAGTTTTGCTCCAGAAATTAAAACAGAACCTGTTGGTCTCAGTAGAATTGGATTTCTCTCCCCTGCAGACAGTAGACCAGGTTTCTCAACTGCTGATGTTTGGGACCAGATAATTCTTTGTTGTGGGAGGCTGTGCACTGTCAGGTATTTAACAGCACCCTTAGCCCCTACCTACTAGCTTCCAGTAACTGCCTCCCACAGTAGTATCACCAAAAATGCCTCCCAACTTTGCCAAATGTCCCCAGGGGGGCAAAATCGCATCCAGTTGAGAACCACTGCTGCAGACCAGTGTTCTCAGCTCTGGCTGCATATTAGAATCATTTGGGGAGTTTTTTTTTTTTTTTGAGTTGGAGTCTCA